GCGGCGTTCCGGGCGGAAACCGAGACCCTGACTTTGAGTTCCGGGCGCCTGCGGCCGCGGTAAAACCTCCCTTCGCTCCCTCCCGGGGCGAAGCCGCAAAGCCTGTGTCCGCCTTCCAGGCAGCATCCCTTTCCAAGCCCAGGAAACGAAACACACACCAGTAAGAAGCTGGGCGGCACCGCATGTCGAGCGGATGCGATCGCGCCCGGCCGGCCTGGCGGTAATTCGGAGACCCGCGCACTATTGGGGCTGCAGGGAGCTCTGCACGCCACGCTAGCTTCGAATAGCACGGGAGGCGTGGGCTCTGCAGGGAAGAATGCAGGCTGCTGGGTGAGATCTGGGTTTCTAACCACGGCTTTCCTGCTTCCTGTGCCTCAGTTTCCTCCTCTGTAAAAGCTAGCTGTCACCTGTGAGCCTCACCTACGAAAAGTGCTCCCGAATTTAGCTTTTATTGCTCCTTCCCTGCTTATCCATGAAGCAGGCGCTGTTTAGGTCCTGAGGGTTCAGCAGTCCACAAAAGTCCCTTTTTGCTTACTCTTCAAGGAGGTTACACTCTGGTAGGGAGACCCAAAAGATGTAAGGAAATACATGGTATAAGTGCTGATGAGTGTCCAGGAGAAAAGCAGGATCAGAGAGCGGAGATCGGGAGCTACAGGGCCGTGTCCATTTCTAATGGGGTGGTCAAGAAAGGTCTCGCCAAGAAGACGACCTTTGAGGCCAGGAAGGCAGAGCCCTGTTGGGAACATCATTCCAGGCAGAGGGAACAGGAAGTGCGAAGGCCCCGAGTCCTGCGCCTCATGCATGTCATTTTAAGGATCCGCAAGGAGGTGGGTGAGTGGCTGGAACTGGGGGTTGTCTCTCTGTCCAGATGGCATTAAAGAGAGAAGTGAGATCACTGGGGAGTAGCTCTTTACTCCCTCCCTCCCTGACTCGTCAATCCCTTCATTTCACAAAGTCATTACACACCCACTGTGTGCTAGGCAGTCGCCAGCCATTGGGAAGTGAGGGGTAAACAGGACAGCTCCCTGCCTTTCAGAGGCACCCCGTCCAGGGCGCGGAGCAGTCCGTCTCCCTATTTTATCACGGCTCTCCTAGTAGATAATGCTCCTCACCACTTGCATCCGCCCTGTCATTCTCCAGGCTCGGCTCTGTGCCGCTGCAGACTCCTTCCAAAAGCCCTTACCCATCTTCAAAGCGTCAAGGATTATCATGAACAGCAGATCATAAGCCTTCTGTTTTCTAGACCAGCTCCGACTTTAAATGTTGCAATCTGAGAAAGGGGCAGTACTGAATGTCGGACTCAAACAGCTCCATGACCTCAGGATTTGTGTCTTCTGGTTTATTGCTATACACCCGCGCCTAGAACGGCATAGCTCCTAGGATGTGATCAATAAATATTTGTTGAATAAATGAGTGACTTTGTAAGATTTTTATGTATATGTGAAATATTTTAAAGATTTTGTTGTTGTTAACCCTTGCCTGAGGATATTTTTCCATTGATTTTAAAAAAAATATGTATTTTATTGATTTCAGAGAGGAAAGGAGAGTGAGAGAGAGAGAGAGACACATCAATGATGAGAGAGAATCATTGATCGGCTGCCTCCTGCATGCCCCCTACTGGGGATGGAGCCCACGACCCAGGCATGTGCCCTGACTGGTAATCGAATATTGACCTCCTGGTTCATAGGTCAACACTCAACCATTGAGCTACACCAGCCGGGCTCCATAGAGAGAGTGGAAGGGAGGGGGAGAGACAGAGTGTGAGACCCATCAATTGGTCTCTTGGGGAACGGGGTCTGTGACTGAGGTATGTGCCCTTCACTGGAATTGAACCCGGGACCCTTCAGTCCAAAGGCCGACACTCTATCCACTGAGCCAAACAGACTAGGGTAGTGATGGCGAACCTATGACACGCGTGTCAGAGGTGACACGCGAACTCATTTTTTTGGTTGACTTTTCTTTGTTAAATGGCATTTAAATATATAAAATAAATATCAAAAATATAAATCTTTGTTTTACTATGGTTGCAAATATCAAAAAATTTCTATATGTGACACGGCACCAGAGTTAAGTTAGGGTTTTTCAAAATGCTCACACGCCGAGCTCAAAAGGTTCGCCATCACTGGCCTAGGGCCATATGTGTGACATATTTTAAATGGAGAGGTTGGGTGTGCTGTTGAGTAGATGAGTTTCATGTTCAGGGGGAAGGTCATCTTCTGCTTGTTCCTGCTGAAGTGGGAAGCAAGTCACAGTTGCGAACGGACGTGGGGTTACAAGGTCTGAGAGAGAGCAGGCGTGCGATAGCTCTTGGCAATGGGTGAGTCAAATCAGAAATCTGGTAGATTGTCAGGCAGCACTGGGGGCCCTGGGCGTCTGTGACCGTAAATATAAAGATAAGGCGCCCGCACACCCAGTCATCCAGCTGCTTACTTGGTGAGAACATCCCCTTTGCCCTGAAGGGACAGATGAAGCGTGTTCACCACTTGGGAAGTATCCGCCAGGCGGTGGGCTAGGCGGCCACTGTCATCACAGGAATACGTGCCTTTTTGTTTAAGAAGAAGAAAAAGATGACTCATCGCTAAGTCTGACAGGCCTTTTAAGAATCTTGCTGTGAGATAGCCAACAACCTTCTACGTGAGCAAAGAACCCACATGGATGCTCAGCTCCCTCAGGTCACGGGACAGCCCCACGGCAGGGAGGTCTGTGTGTGCAAACTAACCACATCCACGGCGCCTGGCTTCCCGCAGGGGAATGTCCCCGAGGCACCGTCACCGTCAGCATCGGAGCGCAGCATCCTCTCATTGTTTCAGGCAAAGCAGCCATCCTTCAGTGGGTACGTGAACACAATGTGGCCACAGAATATTGTTTTGTGTTATTTTTTTCTGTTTTTTATTATTTTTTAAATATGTTTTTATAGATTTCAGAGATGAAGAGAGAGGGAGAGAGAGATAGAAACATCAATGATGAGAGAGAATCACGGACCGGCTGCCTCCCGCACGCCCCCTACTGGGGATGGAACCTGCAACCCGGCATGTGCCTTGACTGGAATCGAACCCGGGACCCTTCAGTCCACAGGCTGATGCTCTAGCCACTGAGCCACACCAGCTAGGTCAATAAAAGTATATTTTAAAATAAAATTTTTAAAAAAATGATTGGGACCCGTGACGTTTGATGGTCTGTTAGAAACACAGGAGGAGATACTGACTGGGGCGTGGGACAGGGGAGTCTGGAATTCAGAGGAGATGCCGGGCTGGCGGCTGGCGGTGTGAATGAGTGAGTCCTCGTGTGAAGATGGAATTTACAGCCGGGGACCAGGGAGGACGCCTGGGGGTGAGAGCAGAGACCTCACAGCAGGTGAGAGGAGAAGCCGGGGCGGAGGGGTGGGCACTGTGACGTTAAAGTCAGAGCAGGGGCAGGCAGTGGGCAGGAGGGCCAGCGGGTGGGGACAGGGCCCGTGCGGGCATCTCATGAAGGAAGACGCGGTGGGTGCTGGTAAGAGCTGGTGAGCTGAGCAGAGGCCTCAGCAGGATGCAGGCGTCGACAGGATGCTTTGGGGAAGCGGGCAGGATGGTGCTTCCCTGAGGGTCCAGGAGCGCAGAGGAGGAGGAGCGGGAGCACAGGCAATGCCTGTGGGGGTTTCGCCAAAAGGAGGCTCAGAGAACCAGGCAGCAGAGAAAGGAGAGCCGGAGGCTAGAGATGGGGACGATGGTGGCGCATCTGCATGCCGGCGGCAAGGAGATAGGGGTGACTGAGCGGGGAGAGCTGTTGCCGGAGAAAGTCCTTGAGTGGGTCATTCCTCGGTGACAGGCCCTGGGAATTCCAGGAATGTGGCCCCCAGTCCTCCAGGCCGGGCCCTGCCCGCAGGGTGTGGCCACAGTGGAGCTGGTCCCACTGCCTCCTCCAGGCACCCGGATGCCACCCGCATCCCAGGGCTTGGGGCCCAGGACAACTCAGCCGAACGTTTCATGGAAGAGGTGCTACCGTGTGTGGGAAAAGCTGAGTATTTCCAGGGGGCAGCAGAGCAGAGACTGCACTCAGGGGAGCAGATTTAAATCCTGGCCTGAGCCCTAGCCGGTGTGGCTCAGTGGATGGAGCGTCGGCCTGCGGACCAAAGGGTCCCGGGTTCGATTCCAGTCAAGGGCACATGCCCTGGTTGCAGGCTCAATCCCCAATTGGGGGGCGTGCAGCAGGCAGCCCAGCAGTGATCCTCTCTCATCATTGACGTTTCTCTCTCTCTCTCCCTTCCTCTCTGTGATCAATAAAAATATACTTTAGAAAAAATAAAATGCAATCTTTGCCTAACCCAAGATCACTAAGCTTTTCTCTTCTTTTGTTTTGTTTTGAAGGAGGTTTGTGGTTTTGGCCCAGCGGTGATTCCAGCACCTTTTACTGGAAAGCTTGTCCTTCCTCCCACTGAATTGTCTTGGCACGTTTGCTAGGACATCAACTGACCACACGCGTGTGCAGGTCTATCTGCGGATTCCTGTTGTCCCATTGGTCCGCGTGGCAGCCTCTCCTCGGGTCCCACCCGTCTCCGTGGCTGTTCGCTCCAGGCAGGTCCTGAACTCACAGGCAAGTCCTCCAACGTTCTCACTCTTGTGTCTATTCTGTATGGTTTGCACCCCACATGAATCTCAACACTTGTTTACTAAGGTTTTTCCAAATAATTCTGCCGATATTTTGAATGTCACTGCATTTAATCTGTAGATCAACTGGGGGGAGAATTGGCCTCTTAACAACATCGAATCTTCAAGCCCTGAGTGCGGCATAGCTCACCGTTTACTCGGTATACTCCTCTTTCATTTCTCTCAGTGATTTTTTTTATAGTTTTCAGAGTGTAGTTATTGCACCTACTTGTTGAAGTAATCCCTATTTCATAAGTCTGCATGTGCGTGTGTGTGTGTATCTGAGAGAGAGAGAGAGAGAGAGTTTGCTTTATGTTCTCCAAAGTTGAGCAAAAGAAAATTGGTTAATTAAGGACTGTGGTTTGCTGAATTCCAGTTAAGTAAGATTTGACTGTACTTAGCATCCACACTAATGGCTCTGGTTATGTCATTCCCACGTTCAAAAGCCTTCACTGGGAAGTAATTATGGGATGTGCTCGAAGAACGTCGCATCAGTTCACCAAGGACAGGACGGGCACAGCCGAGCCGCTGGCTGGAGAGAGGATGCTGTGTTCTTCCCGCGCAACAGCGGCTTTCAGATGCAGCCGGGATGCCCTATACTATAGGGTCAGGCAGGCGTCAGGGCCCCACGCATATTCTGATCACAGAACTCTAGTTTGATCCCTTTTGGTTTTGGAGGTTCCTGGTAGGATTTTGTTTAAAGACAGTTCCAGGGCTTAAACGCCATTATTGCAAAATAATTTTTAATGGCCAAGGAAGAAAGATGTTAATGGGATTAAAATCAGATTAGGAAAGAATCTACCTAGTACATCTTATGTCCCTGTTTGGGGGGGGGGGCGGAGAGAAGAAACATTTGTACAAAAAAAAAATGGGGGGTTATATGTACATGTATCAAAACATTAATAGACATGATATCTGGGCGGCTGTGAGCAGAGCCCAGGGCTGCGGGCCCTGTGGGCACTTCAGGAGGTGACTGGGGGCATCGCCCACTCCCGACAGGCAGGGGCCGCAGGCACAGGCTGCAGGGCCCCAGGAGCTGTTCATAGGCCAGGCAGGAGGCCAGGGCTGGGCTGGGGTCTTCCCCTGTCGGGCTCAGGAGGAGTTTCAGGGGAGCAGCCTGGTTTGGGGACAAGGCTGTGGGAGCCCCTTCTCAAGCCCTGGATCTCCCTCTGAGCCAGGCCACAGCCCTGTCCCCACAGCCCTGTCCCCATCGGCTCCGCCAGCGTTTGCTGAGGGACTGGGTGACCTGGGAACTGGGTCAGGGCCCCACCTGCAGAGGAGCTCGGGCGCTGGGTGCTGCTGCCCCCTGGTGGCTGTGGCCGGGAGGGCCTCCCGGGCTAGGATGTCTGCATCCCTAAGGCCTCCCAGAGCCTGGTGTTTTGGGAATGACCCAGCCTCCG